AAACAAATTTGATGATAAAATGGTAACTCATTATTAATTCCACCAAAATTTCATACACAGACTTAAAAATCTTGTCTCGTGTTTTTCAAACTTCCAAAACCATACCAATATATTCGGAGTATGTTTTACTTGAGAGTGCTAAACCAGTTCCTTCAACACATGGATTTTTATTAACAATTTTTATTTATCTGTTTACAGTTTATTTTATTTGGAATCTTATCAAAGAACGGTACGAGATGAGATCAGATGAACTCGTTACGTCAGAAGTCGATGACCTAGAACCCGGATAAAATGAGCTGAATCAATTAGCAAAGACCGCGTCTAGAAACTATGAATCTAAATGATTTTTGCATCTTCAGAATACATCAAAGAAGTGTAAGAAATACACCAAAATTTATATAAGGTGTCCAACTAATGCATAAGTTTTTAGATTATAATTATATCATAACATAGGAAAAAACATAAAATGAAACAATTCAAATTAAAACAAATGGCGATACAGTTGCCTTTCAAATAACACTTTGTATTTATATGAAGAAAACAAATAGCACAGTCAATAAAACAAGAAACACTTCCCTAACTTTCTATCTATTAAAACATTTAAAAAATGATAATTATGACTTTATTGTCATATAAACATAATTAGCTTGTGACAAAAAAAAAAAAAAAACCAAAAAAACATAATTTATCAAAGAAATAACAATCCTGTAAGAAATGAACACACGGAAAAAATATATTATACTTCTGCCCTCAGTTCTAACGATTGTTTTATAAAGGAGCCAATATTTTTCACATGTTCCATGATAGAGAGGTTTAGCATTTCTTTTACTTTTTGTACTTTGGTAAGAGACATAATAGTTATCGAAGGTACCAGGATTATAATTTAATAAAATTATGGAAAGGTAAAAAAAATTCAAATAGATTATCCCTTAGTTTTTTTTGTTAATTTTACATTCAAGGAGGAATTGTTTTTCATTCTCCAGCAAGTGACACAGTTTACATATTATATCCTTTCTAGGAATTTTATAATAGCGACATTTTTATATTTCTAAATTATAGTCACTTATTCTCAACTTAGTGAAGCATTTTCTTATAGAAAAGTCATTGGAAGCTAAATAAAATTCTCTATCCAAACTCAGTTTAAATTTCTTTTAGAGTAACATTTTACTATTTTCATCATAACTGTTTATTCTATTTTCAAAAATATTTTTTAATCAAGGGCTTTAAAGAATTTACTTCATTCAAGTCTCTACAATTATTAACAACATCTAAAAGGTCTGGGTTGGTTGAAATATTCTTGGCATATGTATACCAAGAATAAGTACCACATGAGGCCAAAAGTTTTGACAATATAAATGCATCTTTAAGTTAAAGTTTTTGTTTCAGAATTCTGTCTTGCTAGGTAACTTAAAGATAGAGACTGTAAAAGGATTGTAGGAATTACCAAACATGTTGGCTAGTCGATCATAGTTTACCACAACAATCACCAACAGTCGACTCCTCCGAGCAAATAGTACAGACAATCAACCGCGAACTACACATTGTCCAGATAGACCGACTTGGTGGCGAATAAGATCGTATGTCGTAAAAGTAAAACGCACAACCAAAAACCCATCACATTTCATGCTACTTACAGGATGTAACTGTAAAAAGGCAATTACAGACAGCATATAATTTGAAAACCAGGATCAAAATGTTATCGCTACTACAGAAAGCTAGCTTAGGAAGTTATAGCTATTTGTTGATTAATTTTGCAATGATCGCCTACAAGCACATGATAGGAAAGAGAATGAAAAGTAAAAACGTTAGAAGTGAAACCTTATAGGAGGGTTTGATTTTTGTTTTTTTTTTGGGGGGGGGGTCTTCATTTCTGTTATTTTTAGGTTATTTTTCCATTTTCCATTATTCTCTATTCTTTATAATTTTATATATAAGCACCCCATTAACTCTTTTTTTTATTTTTTCTATGACAGTTCACCAAAATGGAGTTATAAAAGTTCTTTAATAAGAAACATGCATTTAAAGATTGACAAACCCACAACTATCAAACATGTCTATCAGTGAACAAAATTAAGTCAGTAATCAATGAAAAAATAAAAATTCTACAAGAGACGATTTGCAAATCAATCAATAAACATGTCCGATGTTGGTAAAAATAGAATAAAGGAGTTTTAAAAGTAAACAATTTTCTGTCTCCTTATCAATATAAATCAGTCTGTTGCCAAAATCATTTTATCGTGTTGTTTCGTTGCCGTCTTCGTTTCATTAAATTACTTCAGAATGTCTTTGTCTTACGAAAATTTTAAGACACATATCTCGAACAGTCAAATTCATTGTTTTCAACTAAAGTCTTCGGTTTTTCTTGAGTGTCTTTTGTTTGCTTTCTTATTAGAGTATACACCACACGTCCATTGATTTTTATTATTCGGGAATGGCTTATTATAAAAAAAAACAAGTAATGGTTCCAAATAATAATATCATGTTACCTGTCAGGTTCTTAGCATGGCTGAAGGACAACCATGAATACTTTACATGCATTGCATCAAATATACACCTTAAGTAATTCCTATTTTGTGCATGCCTATAAATATGTATATGCTTTCTAAATTAAAGTCCTTCTAGATGTAATTATGCCTTTGATGCATCAGAATGTAAAACAATGTGAACATGAACAACAACTTTAATTATTTGGACTAAACCTAAAAAATGAATTCCGTTATGATTGAGAAATGATTATTATAATAAAAGCATTGGGAGACCTACAATGCCCTTTCCTTTAGGTGCACTTAAAAAAAAAAAGACAAGTGATTACAACTCTTTGGTTACATTCCGACCCTACTAACGTCATCAAGTATTTTTTCAATTGCTGTCAAAATTAACCATTTATCCTGCAATCAGCCAACTAATGAATAAATAACAGGTACACAAATACATTTTTTGCCTGATATGTACTTGTACAAATAAAGTCTCCTTGTTACTCCGCTTCCATGAGGTGCAAGTGGTATTGTCAATATTTCTTTTTGCGTAACAGTTCATTTTGGGGTCCTCTTGTCAACGTATATTTGTTCCGCCTAACAGAAGTTCCACTGGAAACTTTGTTATAAACAATGTCATAATGCCTGTTCCTGTTAGAACAAATATTCTATACCATTTATTCCGTTAGTAGATATAGGAAGATGTGGTATGAGTGAAAATGAGACAACTCTCCATCCAAGTAACTATTTATAAAAGTAAACCATTATAGGAACATATACTGTAATATTTATTCCAGTGGAAATAATATTCCAGAATATTTTTTCCATTTGGAACTAATATTTTGAAGTAACTTCTATTTCGTGACACTCTTCGCAGTCCGCGCTTATACTATGACGATTTCTTTGAAAAATCATAGACAACTATTTGGATCTTGCAATTAAAGCTTCAAGTGCAGGGCGTAAATTGCAGGATAAAAAAACAATATGTGTACATTGTCGGAAACATAAAATGTATTTGTACTCTCTACGAAACTGGAGAAAAGCTCGGCGAGCCTCCCTTTTCGTCCTGTTTCTAAAGCTCGTACAAATAAATCAATATTTTCCGACAATGTACATATTTGTTAGAATATCTCTCGGTCAAGTCAATGTCAGCATCCTACTTATTGATAAACTGTTAACAAGACATGTTTCCGTCCTGATTATACATGCAAAATGTGCACGCAACTGGAAGTAGATCTACATTGTGTAATTTCAAATGAAATTGTACTCTGTAAATATCAGCTGTGAGTCCTTGAGCGAGAGTTCACTGTTGATTTAGTAGTAACTCTATGTGCGTGTTTATAAAAAAAATGAATAGAATACATGTTTAATTAAAACACATAAAAGACCCTGTAGTAATGTTTGCATAAAGCTGATTGCTCGAAAGGCTAACTTTCATGATAATGAGTTAGCATGTTCTGAAAAGTGGATGGACCGGAAGAATGCATAAATAAAATTATTATGATTCACCGGAAATTAAAAGTAAGAACTATTTGGAAGGGTCGTAATGGGGCTTAATTTCGGTACCTCATTCAGCAAAGTTAACCATATTTTTAGGCTGATTTTGTTGTTCTCTCCCACGTTTATTATTTTTGGCTTTCCAAACTTTTGGTGTCGAGCGCACCTGAGGAAGATAACTCAGAAACATGTGTTTGCGAACGGAAATCAAACACATTTTTCGCTGTTCAAACGATTAAAATAATGCACAAAAGTTGTTTGATTGATTGAACTTGTAGAAGAAGCATATTACTACATTGATGATAAATGCATATGTTAAGGAAATCAACAATATTGCAACTAGTATTAGGTCTAGACCAAGTGTTATTCTAAATCTAACCTTAATCTAAAATATATATTATATAGTTGTACAAAAAGCCACCAAAATGACTTGAAAAAAGGACCAATATTGATTCCAAAGTGAAAATATGTATCGGATCTGATAGAGTGAATTAGGTTTAGGTGTCTAGAAAATCTATAAATGATTATAGGATAAGACTAATTAGTTGAAGGAAATTTGAGACTTTCGTGGATTTCGTTGTACTTCTTTTGACGTGTATGCAAGAAGTATTTGCCATTCAAAATAGTATGTTTGCCAATTCTGTAACTGACGTTGTAGTGAGATATTCATTTCGTGATTTTTTCCATTAGAAAGGACATATTTTTTTCATTGACAATGAAGAGCTAGCGGAAAGAGCAAATAAATGTGCGTAATGTGTGTATTTAAAAAAAAATCAAATATTTGGCTTTTATTTATTCTTTTGTTACATGTATGCTAAAAACATAAACATATCTTTCAACTTATCATGTTTTTTTAATCAGCATCTTATTGTTGTCTGGTATAATGGTCAAGAGTTGCAACTGTGTCAAAAGTGTGTTATAACAGTATCAAATCGGTAATTGGCAAAAAGACAGTTGTTTCACTTTATAGTTACAGTAATTAAAAAGTTAACTACACAGTATTAAGAAAAAGAAAGAAAAAACGTAATATATTTTGCTGATAATGAATTTATTTCAAGTTTTTTTGGGATGTCCTTTTACACTTCAGCTGAAAGAAAAAAAAAGAAATACGATCAATAAAGAAAACAAGTAAGCAAATAAGCTAAAATTGATCAATCAATTAACAGAAATTGTAAGCAACAGTTTCTTTTGTATAAATCAATGCATGATGGTATATTGAATACATTTGTGAAAAATAACATTAATCATATTATTTTTTAAACATGTTATGTTATGAATTTTTAAAGTCTCCAAAATTTTACTTTTTACGGCACTGTTGTAAATTGTATAAAAATATTTAAAATGTGGAACATTGCCGATTCATAAGGTACCCTTTAAAAATATATTTAATAGAAATCCAAAATGGCGCGCATGGAATGAAACGCGCCAATGCAATTACGATATTTACTTCGACGTATTGTATTACAATGTACATACCATTTTTTCGTTCCACAAGGCCTGCATACTTGTATCTTCAGTCTACATTTGGCTATTTTGGTATCGAAGGTTAAGAAATTTGGACATCTGTTGATGTATGTTTTATCCTTTTTACAGTAGAAAAATTGTTGACAACTTCCGCCTTGAAGTGGATAGAACCCTTCCGGTTTACCTCTACAACTTGGTTTCAGTCCACCGTCTTTTTGAGGAATTTCAAACACATTCTTACATCCGTCTTTTGTCGCGATTTTTTTGCCATTTTTATCGGATCCACAAAATCCAGTTTTCACAAGATGATCATCTTTGCATACCATGTACCACGGAGATTGTGGTCTTTTAAGATGCGGTTGAAATCCATTTGACTTCTTTTCACAGCTTGGATATGCCATCTCACAAGACGTAAAAGGGGAACTCATCGATTTGTATCTGTTATATTGACCTGTATAGGAAATTGTTATTATTATAAATAACATTTAAAAAACGGCTCATTTCTTACTATATATTGGAGAGGGTACGGATGGGGTTTACAAAAAAGAGAAAATGGGACAAAATAATTATGAAAAGAGAATAATTGGGTGTTAAAATATAAAGAATATAGATTAATGGACCAGCAGAAGAAAAAAGGGAAAATTGTCTAACAAAATTAAACTTCCTTTTTAGTTAATATCTATTAAAAGTCAAACAGGGTCAATATACTTTTAATGTTAAGGTCGTGTTTGAACTTTGCTTTGAATTTTTGAAATAGTCATTTCTTGTCGAGAAAATGCAGTTTAGGTATCCTTATTTAGTTCTATGCTCTATCAACTGTTCGATGCATTCTACCACAGGAACTCATTCTTTTTTACGATATTTGATTCGTCCAACTATTAGGGGTAATTTCTGCATCGCAAAAAATTCTTATTTAGAAAGAAGTCATTCTATATTGACACCGAAAGAAATCCTTACAGAATAAGCCTAATAAACATTATATATCACTAAGTTAAGGGAATACTCATCGGTGTTTGGTCGAGTTTATCCCTATATCTTGTCATATATATGTAGTTTGCAATTGCAAACTTTAATTTAGGTTCTTGACGTTTGAAGACCTACTTCAACAATAGACTCTGCATGCTAAGAATCCTTGCAACAACTGTTTGAGGGGTCCGTTGCTAGGCAAAATTTCTATCCTTATCCAATATACCCTTATTTTCCAATGGCAGTTCAAATTTCCCCGACCTTCATCCCAGATGGTCGTATTACAGGACCTACATATTGTATTTATTGGTAATTTGTTCTAGTTAATTCTGAACAAGCATGACATATTTGCCACTGGATGTTAAGCAATAATCAATCAATCAATCAACGATCGAGACGTTAAATATTCATACCATACTTACATTTAGACTTTAGATTTTTTCTGTTGCCACATTTGACTGTATGGAAGTCTTCACACGACTGTTTTTCAACATCAAATTGTAAAGGGTATGCACATTCTTTTTTCACTGGTTCCCCCGTCTTGTCACCACAGTCGAAGTAAGTCTGACAGTACTCTTTATCAGGAAGACGTGTATATCTAGGTGATACTACACAAAGATCTGCTGGGGATGGCACTACAAAATGATTCAGATGAACAAGCTAAAGCAAAATTTTGACTTAAACAGAAATTGATAAAAGTAGTTGCGTTTTTTTCAAAGTTTAAGACAATCAAATCTTAACTGAAGCAAAATTTCAATTTGAGATTTTATTAGTATGTTGTCTGATGTTTTCTTAAATAAAAAAAAAAGAAGAAATATGCAAGCCATGTCAATCAGATTAAGAGGCTGTTGTCATGGGTTTCAAATGACTGGATTTATTACAAATTGTGACTTGGATGGAGAGTTGTCTCATTGGCACTCATACCACATCTTCTTATATCTAGTTATACCTATTTTAAACTGTAATTCCTTTCAAATTATTTGATCGCAAAATTTCATTGACGGCTTAGTGTTTAACATCCTGACAATCTCAGGTACGTTTTGTCCACATGCTTTCAGGAGAGGACACAGGAACCATGACGTTTTCAGCATGAACGTGTATCTCATTTTACACAGATTCATACCCACAAAAAACTAAGGTAAATATAATTTTTTTTAATGCAAGTATTTTGAAGAAGAAAAAAAACTGGTTACCTTACCTATTTCACAGTATCTGCCTTTATATGGCACCCGACACTCACAGCCAAATGCTTTCGGTTGGGTTCCTGCCACACATGTCCCACCATGCCTGCACGGATTTCTGTTTAGTCCACACGTTTCTTGAAATAAAGATAACCCCTTTAAACGTTCCTGTATACATGTAAATACGTACCAACCGGTTTCACCAAAAAGAGATGTTTTCATGTATCAGTACTAATTAATATTACACATTCTACACATAACATAATTCTTTTGTTTTTTTAAAAGAAAAAGATAGCTCAAATGTTTCATTTCCAAAATATTTAAAGCTGAACTGTCACTTCTCAAGTATAAGGTATATAGGTTATAATCATACTGTTGTTTGCTCAATTGTGGCGTCCGGTATTTTTTTTTATTATCATGGTATTCGTTTGAAACAAGAATTAAAATGTCTGCATTGAAAATCTGTTCCAACCTGTTTTTGGGATTGAAAACGATCATGTCTTCTTGCACTCGCATTAACGTTGCTGTATGGAATTGACTCCGAAGTACAGTCACTGATATCAGAGGGCATGAAATGATATCGTATCAGCCGATGTTAATTACTCAGCCACTTCAATATAAAATAAGGAGATGTGGTATGATAGCAATGAAACGACTTACCACCAGAATTTAAATGACGTGGATTCAAGCATTCGTGTCGCCGTATATAGCCTTCAACATTGAGGAAAACCCATATTGTATAAATGCTTTCAGTAACTGGGAACGTCTAAAATTTATATATTATTTGTTCCTTTTGTACCTGCTATTCGGTACCGCTATTATCGAGTTAAGTGCTTTTTATGTATCTGAGTTTTAATAAACGCTCTTTTATGTACTTTTTTTTATGGCAGTGGCTATTTTGCCGAGACCGGCAAAATAGAAAATATGCTATTTTGCCGGCTCTGATTAAAATATCTTAATTCAAGCCGGCAAAATAGCATATTTCTATAGAAATGGCTATTTTACCGGCACCAGCAATATAGTGAATTTGTTATTATGCACTGTCAACATAAAAGAATAAAAAAATTACTGATATACCGGTAGTTAAATAAGAAAACAGCAAACAATATTTGAGATACATATAAAAGTTTTAAAAAATTTATCAGTCACAGCCCAGCAGGCACACATCATTGATTTAAGGTAACACGATACCGAATGACGTTATGCCACGAGTTATCGTTCCTGCTGTTGTCGACATCTTTGAAATTTACGTTAAACGTATAAAACTTAGAACGAATCAAACAAACAATTTGCCTCAGTCTGGTATATAATAGTTGAAAGATAAATGTTTCTTTATTTCAAATTTGCAAATATATATGATTATATATTAAAAATACGCTTTCTATACGTATCATATGGCCAATGAACGACACACAAAACCAAAGACATCTATATAACACGTGACTACTGCAGGATGGACGAGTATTTTTTTACTGCTAATTTGTAATTTTAGTAAAGATTCGTTGGTCCCTTGAATTGGAAAGTTAATAAGTATAATAAGTATATTTATTATGGCAAGTATCAAACCTATCAAATTATAACATCACATGTTCACAACAAAAGTCAGATTTTAACTATAACAGCAACATATTTCAGTCTCCTAGTACGTATTTGTTAGTCTTTAAAATTCTTGTATTTCAGGAGAAAACTCAATCGCTTATGAAATAAGGAGATGTGGTATGATTGCCAATTAGAGAACTTTCCATCAAAGACCAAATGATGTAGACGTTAGCTTGATTACGTTGCTACATTTGAGATCTCCATATTACCATTCCACTATGAACTGCTTATTCAAAAAGATATTTTGTCACCAAATGATTTATAAAATAGAAAATAATCATATTTGCTAATATATATTTTGCTCCCTTGACAAAATGCTGGGAGCATATTGTTTTACCCGTGTCCTTCGAAAGTCCGTCCCTTACTTGGTATATATATATATATAGGGTTTATACGGCTGATTTTTTTAGGATTACAGTTTTGAAGCTTTAACTTTAAATTATGTACTTGGTGTTAGTACATATACAATACGCGCATCTTGTCAGATTTTTATTTTTTTATGACAGGTTGTTGAATTTGGCATTTTGATAATATATTGCACCAAGTCTTTTTTTACCTATATTGAGGGTGCAGGTATATTCTCAGGATCACTTTTTTTTAATAATTTTCCACGAATGACAGAATATTGAACTTTGTCTATTCAAATTCGACATCACTGTTTACCAAATCAAATTTTTGAGGCACTTTATTTTATTCATGCATAGATACATCGGTGTCATCAGCATTGTCTAGTTTGGTAGGGTTAAGTTGAAGATTCAGTTTTGAAAGCTAAAAGTGCACACAGTTAGGACGAAATAAAATTAACTCAGTCGAATGTTAGCGGACGACCATTTGATATTCTGGGGGGGGGGGGAGGGCAGGAGGATTTGTTTTGGATCGGTTATTTATTTTTGTAAACTAAGAGGATAGATTATTTATTTTCTGCACTGTTGAAGCAAGATTTTTTCATTTTCATTAAAACAAGGAACTGACTATTTATTTTCACAACTATATTAATAATATTTGAAAACATACGATTTTTAAATTCATTTTTTATTATAAATAATACATGTACAGTCAAGTCATCAATGTACCATTTAATCAGAATTAATCATCATCCTCTGTGGAAATGAATCTTCTGAATTCCAAACTGCATATACATGTATTGCATACATACACGGTATTAGAGTTTGGCTGTGACTAGATTCTTTTAAAAGTATTGTCAAATATATTTACGCCGAGCGGAGCGAGGCAAAAAATTTTTGAAGCCGCTGAAGGCCCCAAGAAACTATAGAACAAATGATGGAAAATCGTGCTTTCTGGGCGTTCCCAGACCCTTTTTTATTCTGAAAAAGTTAGTTCTGTTTTAATAATTTTTTGACAATATTTTGGTCTCAAAGCAAAATGTATAGATTCAGTGTAAGACTTAAGTTTTTATGGACAACATCAAAAGACCAATATGAGGAATAAAGTAAAAATGTAATTCACATAGTTAAGTATGTAGCTGCTGGTTTTTTTTTTTTTTTTTTTTTTTTTTGTTGTTGTTTCGGCAAGCAGAATTTAAATCTTTTATACCTGTAAATTATATGGGGTTTTATTCAAATTAAGTTAAGAGGGGTCTGATTATCAGTGATAAAACTATGTCAAGTAATTTTTAATAACACATTTCAATTTCAACTTGATGTAGCTCTTAACTGGGATACAATTTAAAGTAGTTAAGTTGTAAAATTAGCTAAAAAGTCTTAAATAAAATAAAATTCATGATCAATTTGAAAACAAACTTACTAAATCACAAAAGGAATGCAACACTAAGAGAATACAGAAGGGCAATCAATGAACAAAAGACAAATTTAAAGAAACATTGATCCCGAAAAAACAGATGCTACGTCCAAGGGAGAACAGAACTTGCTTCTTGCAAACACTCGCTGTGAAAACAATTTGATATGAAGACAAGCTTTTGGTTTTGAAATTTACTACATAAAGGCATTTGCCTCAATGTAGTTACAGCCCTGTAATAAAAGTGAAGTAAGTGTTCCTAAGCCAATATACCTCAAGTTAAATGAAACCCATTTTCAGACATTTCAAGTGTATTTAAATAATATTTATACCTTTATTATTAAAAGATTTGGGAAGTGTTTCCCGAATTTTTTTTGAAAAAAGATGAATTTTATGAAGAATATGGTGCCACCTCATACTTTCGAATAGCATTTATAAAATGGCTTAAAGACCTGTCGAGTTATTCATTTTCAATACATTGTTAGTCAGGTTATTTATTTTCGAACTACCACAGAACAAACCATTTATTTTTGTGATTATCAAGGCTGAGTTATTTATTTTCAAAATCCTCCTGCCCCCCCCCCCCCCCCCCCCCCCCTCCCCAAAAATCTAATGGTCGTCCCCTTATACTGAATTTTTAGGAAATTTCCGACAGGGGGAATGAAAATAAAATAACAAACACCATTCAGATCCCGTTACATATTTTTTTTTCAATCCCTCTGAATAAAAATAACGTTATTCTGTATTCCGTAACGTCACAAATTTTTGTCAATTACTAAGCGTATCGGTCATCTTTGAAGTGATTTATCTAAAAAACAAGGATGGTGACATATGTTTTTTTTTATACATGTATATATATATATGGATTTGGTATACAATCCTGAATATTATATTAGTTTTTAGTCTTTCTCCGTATATGAGAAAATAGCCATCCGTTGAAAAATCTAGAAAAGTCGAAAAAAAAGGCATTTTCCCTTTATATCTTTGTAAATTTGGCGCCAAAATTGACATTTACTTATCAAAATTACAAAAAAACAAGAATGGTGACCCCCATTTTTTATTTCATATTCCGATGTAACTCGAATCAAAGAACAAGTTTGCCAAAAAGTTTAGAAATCGGGAGATATGCCATTCGGTATCGTGTTACCTTAACATTGAATCAATGTTTATTTTCTATGTTGAATCAATGTTGAATTATTATTAGATTTTGCAAATTTGTATCAACGTTGAAATCCTACGTTGAATCAACGTTGATATTCAACTTTGAAGCAATATTGAATAATGGATAACTTTATCCAATAACTGCTCCATCAGACCAAAGTATAAAAATTCATCTCAGAAAAAAATTGATGAACTTTAAATAATATCATTGCCTGGTCATATTTGACATGGTGTGGGCTTTTGCTCATTGTTGAAGACTGTGTGGTGACCCAAAGATATATAAATAATGTTCTTTGGTTGATGATTGTCTTGTTAACAATAGGTAACAATAAAAACTTTGAATATATGCCATTGACTGTCAATTACTCGTAGAAGAATTTTCAACAATAAAACTGAGAGACCACATTCTTGTGATAAGAGCATGGCTTGACCATGATGATGTCAACAACCAATCAACTGAATAACAAATTCGGTGATTAGGGCTTTCCTACGAACCATAATTTAACCCCCAAGATTTTTTTAACATTTGACGATATGCATATAAAAACACAATTTATCATTCCAGAGAAATATTGAAAAAATCAGCAAAAAAAATTAAAAAAATATTTCCAATATTGAACTATCCTTATTTTTGAAAGCACACAACCCTTAATACACATATGTTTTGTCCAATGTCTATTCTAAATATCTGAGTGATCAAAATATAAAACAAAGTTTGCTGTTCCTACTCCATGTATTCTAATGTCCAACCACTGATTATAGAGAAATATTCAATACGATAAAATTAAAATAAATTTATTTATTAATAGTGAAAACTTCAACTTCTTTCTTCTAGCCCACCCTGTCTTTTTGGAGCCCATCTAAGAAAGGTTGTTGTTTGGTCAGACACTTGTTGTTCCGTGATTCCATAGGTCTTCATGATGACATCTACAAAATCAAAAGTTATAACATTGTCAAGTTTAATACTGTTCAACACATTTAACTATTAATAACTTCATAATGATGATATTTAAAGTATAAATCAAAAGCATAAGAACTCATGAAAACTGAATGAAAGTTAACCTTCCATCAAAATCTCAACTACATTTTATATAGACCAGAAGGTATAATCTGCAAGAAAATCCTAAATACTATATTTTAACTTGAACAAATTGAAGGTTTATCCACTTATGTATTTTTCTGTATTACTTGTGCTGCTGCATGGATATCTGTCTGATTGACATATACGAGGGTTGTAAAGGGTGGTTCTTAACACGAAAACACGTGAAATAAAAATCCCCAAAACGCTGCACGGAAAATAAAAATTGGGATAAACGAAGCACGAGAAATAAAATCTTAAATATTACGGAAAAAGTACAAGAAGTTATTACTCAGTCGTTCTTGGAGATCACACAGTCATGATGATGGACACGAAGACCCTGTGGTCACCTTTTCGCGTCCGCTAGTTGCATCCGATTTGAAAAAAAAATTATTCATAACTTGATAGCAATTAATATCATGGGAACACATAATTTAAAAATCCAGACTGACTTGGAATTTAGTCCCGGTTTGCTGTCTTTATCAAATGTGGGACAAGCACGAGAAATTAAGAGTACCAACACGAAACACGGAAAATAAGTAAGGGGAAACACATAACGCATGTCGAACCAAAGACAAGAAAACGAGAAAAAAAAGGCCAAAAAACGATGCACGCAAATAAATCTTTACCACCCTCATATATGATATACCCTTCATCTTTGATTACCTTGTCAAAACACTACTTCAATTTTGACAGTAAAATATTAAAGGTCCAACTTGGTGAGCCATATAGCTTCTGACCTTTCCATCCCAATTTTGTAAACAACCCAAGCCCCCCTTTTTATGAGATTTCGTGTAACTGAATTGAACAGGTAAATAAAGATAAAATTCTTTTGACTTTTGATTCAATCATATGATGAATTCAAATAGTCAACGATAAAAATTCATGAGACGTTGCAAGGTAAATCGGGAATGGTAACCTGCTAAACATCCCCCTTTTCCTCGTGTAAAATTTCAACTTTTCAGTACAGTTTTCATAACAACATGATATGCTCACATTTCTAAAATACGATACTGTATTTACTGTAATCACACCAATTTATATATACTTACGATAACATATAAAAGCTGTACACAGGAAAGATATTGATAAAAACTCTGTAGAATCACCTTGTGGTCTCGAAAGCGGATATTCAAAATTGGGCACAAAAACAACTGCGCATGCGCATATCTGAATTTGTCTTAAAGTAGAAATGTTTAAAATGCCGCGAAAATTTAAATCACTATTCCAATAGATCTATCGGTTGTTTATATTACAAGTTATCAACCATTGTTTATGAACTGATGTATACGTCTTTCTCTTTAGATTGTTAAAAAGAATAGAAAAGAAAAAAAAGGAATGAAAACAAGATATTTGACATCAGCAGCCACGGAAAAAGGGGGGCATATTTTTAGGGGAAGGGGTTATTCACAAATATTTATATTTACTGTATGATTCTGTATGCCAGCTGGTTCTATTAATTTATTATGTTTTGGGGTGGGGTGAAATTTGGGAATTTCTATTATTTGGGGTGCAAAGTTCATGATTAATTTATGCTGATATACACTGCGATTGTTTTATATATAATTCTACAATCACCACGACAATTAGCGATAAATCTACTGAATATTCTATTTTATGTGAATATCGTTGTCAATTTAAAAAGAATTGTGATGTGCCCAATACTTCTTTTTTGACAATTCTGGTATCCACAACTACTGGGTTTTATATATTGTTTAGCCAACGTTGATTCAATGTTGGTGTTTCAACACAATGTTAATTCAACGTTGAAACAATGTTCTAATTTCAACGTTGAATTGTCAACGTTGAATCAATGTTGAATAATTGTTGATCAATGTATAACCTAAAATCAACAAAGATTCAACGTTGATTCAACAAAGTGTGCCTGCAGGGAGTGAAAATAAGAATTTATAACAAGAAATATTGAGCATCCATTTGTTGCAATGAAATCAAATCAAAACATGCCATTTCAATTGATATTTTATAGTGTGTGTTTCTATGTTGTGATGTTACACTATTGTTTTTGGTAGGGTGAAGGATGGCGCCTATTAAAACGTTTAAACCCGCTGCATTTGTTTGCACCTGTCGTAAGTCAGGAACTAAATGTTCAGTGGTTGTCATTTGTTGATGTGGTTCATACGTGTTTCTCGTTTCTCGTTTTTTATATAGATTAGACCGTTGGTCTTCCTGTTTGTATTGTTTTACACTAGTCATTTTTTGAGCCCTTTATAGCTTGCTGTGAGCCAAGGCTTAGTGTTGAAGGCCGTACTTTGACTTATAATGGTTTACAAATTGTGACTTGGATGGAGAGTTGTCCCATTGGCACTCATACAACATCTTCTTATATCTATGTAGTTGAAATTATTTCTAAAATGAGTCACAGTTTAAGGCTACATGTATGCATACGAATAAAATCTCAGAATTTTTAACTGTATTAACTGGTATAAAAAAATAAGTTAAAAATTTCATTGCATCATAAATTTGATAAAACATTATACAATATAACAAAATCAATCACATATATATATATAGCTTCAAAAATAAAAAGTATTTAAATTAAATTTGCTTTTGAAATATTAGTCAGTTTTTTGAATTGCACATTACTTGTGTAAACAAAAAATAGTTTTTAACTCGGCTTCCGCTTACCTAGAGAAAATAGCAAATTCTGTTTTTCCGATACCGGAAACTAATTCACTATAATTGCGGGTGCCGGTAAAATAGCCGTTTCTATAGAAATATGCTATTTTACCGGCTTGAAGAGCCAGCAAAATAGCATATTTTCTAATTTGCCCATGCCGGCAAAATAGACACTGCCTTTTTTTATTTCACTGACGGAAATTGAAAGCAATGGTTGGTTGAATCTTTAAAAGTTCATTTAATTTCGACACAGTCAGTAAAAGGATTATTTTCAGCCGTTTGCTTTTTACTTTTATCTTTAGGAATTAAAGTGTCGCGATTTGTCCTGTCATTCATATTTTAACAACATATCTATATTATCGCATTCCATAAGCGAAATAGCTTCTAAGTTCCGAAGCCGGCTTTTGATATTAATTCAAACATAACTGTTGAATAGAGCTTTAAGGGCAATATACTTAAGCTTCAGTTTGTGCTTTATGCAATGTACTATTCAAAATACACGGAACACTCACTTTTTACTGTGCAAACGTTTAGTGAACTACCCTCGGGAACACACCGTACACCTCTCCCTACAACGGTTCCTTCTGGACAATCTGCAAGTTTTATTGCAGACATGCCTGGTCTTCTGCACCTCCATACTGTTCGACAGTCATCACTTATAACTATCCTATAAGCATTTTTACTGTTACAATTTGCTGATCCGTTAATTAATGAAAAGAAACTTAGAAAAACCACAAAATTAGTTTTAAGAGAATCCATATTAATTTACCTGTCAACGTTTGCGTTAGTGGATTTTTTTTTAGAATGAAAAAATATTGTTTATTATTTTGGAAACACGTCAATAGGAAACATGAAACCATTTGTGTAACATTTGGTGTAACTTAATACAATGTCGTATCCGGCAGTATTTCTAAACCGTGACGAGACAGCATCTCAGCGATAAAAGAATATGTTTGAAAGAACTATGCACTTGGCTACCTTTTTTTCTTCAATTCGTTTTTAAAACGCCTTGGCTTCTTCAACTTGAATAATAGAAAATAAAACTATATATCAAACGAAAACTGGATAAAGTGAGAAACAAGTTTCTTTCATTAGTGAAAATTACTGCTTCATTGCTTATCTCAGAGTTCGAACCCTACACGTGGTAGCTTGGTTCGACTCCAATCTTAATTGACTAGGATTGACAGTTTCCTTGCCGAAGGTCAGTGGTTCTCTCCGGCCGTCCCAGCTTTCTACACACAAAAAAAGCTGGTCACCATGAAATAGCAAATAATGATAAAAGTGGCGTTAAAGACCAACAATGAAAACATCAATCATTGTATATCTTAGACGTTTCAAACACATCTCGTAGTTTTTTTAAACACGAATCTATTATTTTAAATTGAATTTGACAATAGCAATTTTCCCGCATCGTATAATGGTGAATCCGGATAACACTGTAATATGTGCCGTTGGACATGAAAAAGCTTAACCTCTAATAATTTTGAATAACTAGGAGAATAGATGAATTTTAAAGCAGAACTATTTTAAATATTTGTCAGCTATTTTAGGGGAAAGCAATAAGTATTGAGCAGATATTTAAGATTTCCGAGGATAAGGCAACATTAATGGGACCTGTCTTTAAAGGTTGGTGTGTCCATCATATTACTTATGTGGCAACCTTTTGTTAAAGGCTTAAAACAAATTAAACTTTTCAAAGTTATTCAAGTTCCATTGCTAACTTAATGTCGACACCTTATAATGTAGAATATCTATTTTAAACAGAAAAGGGTAATTTCTATGTCAAAAGATTGCAAAATTTCTGAGAATGAATAGAACAGTCCCTATTCGAATGCAGCATTCGCTAACTTAGTAGACATGTCTTTGACAAGCAATACTTTGAACCACTGACAGTGTCTTTAACGATCCCATGCGCAAAAATGACAAAATTAAAAAACAGAGTATTGTCCCTGCTAAACTGAAGAGTGTAGGTTTCAGCTGGAGAGTTCCCTATGAAGACATTTTTTTTTTCAGTTAAAAAATTTGAGGTACACAGTCTACAAAATGAAACAAAAGTTGAAAATCTGATGCTCGTCTTGGCGTATACTCAAAAATGTACTTATTTGGGACTGCTTAGACATGAAATGATGTCACAAGACACATGCGACCAGTCACGGCTTTTATAGAACGAGTTGCCCCTCAATCATACACCTTTGACACATAGTCCCACAATGCCCTAATGTTCTAAAGCATAAAAAAAAATATCTTAAAATCCACTATAAAAGAAATAACATAACTAATAATTTTAACCATAAAATTTTATATGAAAAAAAACCCCACAGATATTAAAGTTTACATTCATTACAAATGACAGGAACTATATTTGTAGACAATCGATTACGAGCGACCAAACAGGTCATTTTTGAAAATCAGATCATTTCGTCTTTTTCTATTTAGTTCTTTGAGTCTCTTTTTTGCTATTTTTTCACTTTATTATTCATGGATTGAAACCTTAACTTCATGTTCTAAAACATATACAATGTACGTGGGCATTGTGCTTCAATGAAAAAATATGGGGTAAACGTCAATGAGACAGCCACCTAGTGACAGAAATAACCAAAAGACATGTGCTCGGTTTGACGGTAAACCAGATATATGCGAGATTCCCTCACGTGATAAAGGAAGAAAGATCATTCACAATTTGTCTTACATTTGTTTTTCTCTCTTTTAATTAAATAAAAAAAAACTTTCGAATGTTGAGTTCATAAGATAAAAATATTCCCTATGAATAAGGCTTTCCAATCTAATTAAAATTAAAATCTTGCTTTCTAACCAATCTATTCATGTACCGGACCGGGAACTTTCTTTATTTAATAAGAAAATCTACAGTGCCGTTATATAAATGCATGTTGTCTGCTTGGAGTCCCCGCCCGAAAAGAAAGAAATAGCCTAACTCCAAGATACTACATTCCTGCATCACGTGATTTTTGCCACGTGGAGCTTACATTAGAATGAATACCGAATATGGAAAGTGAAACTACAGTTCAAAACATAAAGTCCGAAGGCACATAGAAGAAAAAGAAGGATTTTTTTTTGCAAAGGGTGCCGGGGTAATCTTCTCTGTGTTCATAATATACACGAAATATTTGCCACTGCCCGTTGTCTGTTCTATAAATTGTAATCCTGAGTTTTCTATCTGTTACATGCCAAGAAATCCTCGCTAAAAATTCCGGTGGACCTCCTACGGCACCTATTAGTAGTTAAAGATTTGATTTCATTCAACAAATTAATTTATGACCTGCAAGTACGTGTCGCTTAGAACACGGCCATATACCAAATGGTCAATATTAATCATCCATGTAATTTGCTCTATGGGATGTTTGCAAAATTTCAACGGAGGCAATTTCTTGGCATGACGAGACAGCATCTCAGCGATAAAAGAATATGTTTGAAAGCACTATGCACTTGGCTACCTTTTTTTCTTCAATTCGTTTTTAAAACGTCTTGGCTTCTTCAACTTGAATAATAGAAAATAAAACTATATATCAAACGAAAACTGGATAAAGTGAGAAACAAGTTTCTTTCATTAGTGAAAATTACTGCTTCATTGCTTATCTCAGAGTTCGAACCCTACACGTGGTAGCTTGGTTCGACTCCAATCTTAATTGACTAGGATTGACAGTTTCCTTGCCGAAGGTCAGTGGTTCTCTCCGGGCGTCCCAGCTTTCTACACACAAAAAAAAGCTGGTCATCATGAAATAGCAAATAATGATAAAAGTGGCGTTAAAGACCAACAATGAATACATCAATCATTGTATATCTTAGACGTTTCAAACAGATCTCGTAGTTTTGGTAAACACGAATCTATTTCTTTTTAAATTGAATTTGACAATAGCAATTTTCCCGCATCGTATAATGGTGAATCCGGATAACACTGTAATATGTGCCGTTGGACATGAAAAAGCTTAACCTCTAATAATTTTGAATAACTAGGAGAATAGATGAATTTTAAAGCAGAACTATTTTAAATATTTGTCAGCTATTTTAGGGGAAAGCAATAAATATTGAGCAGATATTTAAGATTTCCGAGGATAAGGCAACATTAAAGGGACCTGTCTTTAAAGGTTGGTGTGTCCATCATATTACATATGTGGCAACCTTTTGTTTAAGGCTTAAAACAAATTAAACTTTTCAAAGTTATTCAAGTTCCATTACTAACTTAATGTCGACACCTTATAATGTAGAATATCTATTTTAAACAGAAAAGGGTAATTTCTATGTCAAAAGATTGCAAAATTTCTGAGAATGAATAGAACAGTTCCATTTTCGAATGCAGCATTCGCTAACTTAGTAGACATGTCTTTGACAAGCAATACTTTGAACCACTGACAGTGTCTTTAACAATCCCATGCGCAAAAATGACAAAATTAAAAAACAGAGTATTGTCCCTGCTAAACTGAAGAGTGTAGGTTTCAGCTGGAGAGTTCCCTATGAAGACATTTTTTTTTTCAGTTAAAACATTTGAGGTACACAGTCTACAAAATGAAACAAAAGTTGAAAATCTGATGCTCGTCTTGGCGTATACTCAAAAATATACTTATTTGATACTGGCTAGACATGAAATGATGTCACAAGACACATGGGACCAGTCACGGCTTTTATAGAACGAGTTGCCCCTCAATCATACACCTTTGACACATAGTCCCACAATGCCCTAATGTTCTAAAGCATAATAAAAAATATCTTAAAATCCACTATAAAAGAAATAACATAACTAATAATTTTAACCATAAAATTTTATATGAAAAAAAACCCACAGATATTAAAGTTTACATTCATTACAAATGACAGGAACTATATTTGTAGACAATCGATTACGAGCGACCAAACATGTCATTTTTGAAAATCAGATCATTTCGTCTTTTTCTATTTAGTTCTTTTGAGTCTCTTTTTTGCTATTTTTTCACTTTATTATTCATGGATTGAAACCTTAACTTCATGTTCTAAAACATATACAATGTACGTGGGCATTGTGCTTCAATGAACAAATATGGGGTAACCGTCAATGAGACAGCCACCTAGTGACAGAAATAACCAAAAGACATGTGCTCGGTTTGACGGTAAACCAGATATATGCGAGATTCCCTCACGTGATAAAGGAAGAAAGATCATTCACAATTTGTCTTACATTTGTTTTTCTCTCTTTTAATTAAATAAAAAAAAACTTTCGAATGTTGAGTTCATAAGATAAAAATATTCCCTGTGGAAACCCCCCCGGCCTTTCTTTTTTTGGTGCTCTCCAATTTCAACCCCCAAATAAGGCTTTCCAATCTAATTAAAATTAAAATGTTGCTTTCTAACCAATCTATTCATGTACCGGACCGGGAACTTTCTTTATTTAATAAGAAAATCTACAGTGCCGTTATATAAATGCATGTTGTCTGCTTGGAGTCCCCGCCCGAAAAGAAAGAAATAGCCTAACTCCAAGATACTACATTCCTGCATCACGTGATTTTTGCCACGTGGAGCTTACATTAGAATGAATACCGAATATGGAAAGTGAAACTACAGTTCAAAACATAAAGTCCGAAGGCACATAGAAGAAAAAGAAGGATTTTTTTTTGCAAAGGGTGCCGGGGTAATCTTCTCTGTGTTCATAATATACACGAAATATTTGCCACTGCCCGTTGTCTGTTCTATAAATTGTAATCCTGAGTTTTCTATCTGTTACATGCCAAGAAATCCTCGCTAAAAATTCCGGTGGACCTCCTACGGCACCTATTAGTAGTTAAAGATTTGATTTCATTCAACAAATTAATTTATGACCTGCAAGTACG